TCTGTTGAGGTGAGTACGTGATGTTACTGTACTGTGATGTGTGGTAGTTAGATCTATCTGTTAGTGAGGTGACTGGATTACTATCTGTACTGTGTGATGTTGGTAGTTAGATCTATCTGTTAGTGAGGTTACTGTACTGTGATGTCGGTAGTTAGATCTATCTGTTAGTGAGGTTACTGTACTGTGATGTCGGTAGTTAGATCTATCTGTTAGTGAGGTTACTGTACTGTTAGATGTCGGTAGTTAGATGTTAGTGAGGTTAGTTAGTTAGATCTATCTGTTAGTGAGGTTACTGTACTGTGATGTCTGTGATAGTTAGATCTATCTGTTAGTGAGGTTACTGTACCAGTGATGTCTATCTGTTAGTAGTTAGATCTATCTGTTAGTGAGGTACTGTGAGGTTACTATCTGTTAGTGAGGTTACTGTACTGTGATGTCGGTAGTTAGATCTATCTGTTAGTGAGGTTACTGTACTGTGATGTCGGTAGTTAGATCTATCTGTTAGTGAGGTTACTGTACTGTGATGTCGGTAGTTAGATCTATCTGTTAGTGAGGTTACTGTACTGTGATGTCGGTAGTTAGATCTATCTGTTAGTGAGGTTACTGTACTGTGATGTCGGTAGTTATATCTGTTAGTGAGGTTAGTTAGATCTATCTGTTAGTGTAGGTTACTGTACTGTGATGTCTGTAGATGTAGTTAGGTAGTTAGATCTATCTGTTAGTGAGGTTACTGTACTGTGATGTCGGTGAGGTAGTTAGATCTATCTGTTAGTGAGGTTACTGTACTGTGATGTCGGTAGTTAGATCTATCTGTTAGTGAGGTTACTGTACTGTGATGTCGGTAGTTAGATCTATCTGTTAGTGAGGTTACTGTACTGTGATGTCGGTAGTTAGATCTATCTGTTAGTGAGGTTACTGTACTGTGATGTCGGTAGTTAGATCTATCTGTTAGTGAGGTTACTGTACTGTGATGTCATCTGTTAGTTAGATCTATCTGTTAGTGTTAGTTACTGTACTGTGATGTCGGTAGTTAGATCTAGGTCTGTTAGTGATGTCGTTACTTAGATATCTGTTAGATGTACGTGATGTCGGTGTAGTTAGATCTATCTGTTAGTGAGGTTACTGTACTGTGATGTCGGTAGTTAGATCTATCTGTTAGTGAGGTTACTGTACTGTGATGTCGGTAGTTAGATCTATCTGTTAGTGAGGTTACTGTACTGTGATGTCGATGTAGTTAGATCTATCTGTTAGTGAGGTTACTGTACTGTGATGTCGGTAGTTAGATCTATCTGTTAGTGAGGTTACTGTACTGTGATGTCGGTAGTTAGATCTATCTGTTAGTGAGGTTACTGTACTGTGATGTCGGTAGTTAGATCTATCTGTTAGTGAGGTTACTGTACTGTGATGTCGGTAGTTAGATCTATCTGTTAGTGAGGTTACTGTACTGTGATGTCGGTAGTTAGATGAGGTTACTGTACTGTGATGTCGTTAGTTAGATCTATCTGTTAGTGAGGTTACTGTACTGTGATGTCGGCAGTTAGATGTATCTGTTAGAATAGTAATGGTTACTGTACCGTTTTGTTTCTAGTTAGGTCTGTTAGTGAAGAGGCAAATGGTTAATGAACTATGTTGTTGGTAGGGTCTATCTGTTTGTGAAGGGACAGACTAGAATGCTTAGTCTCTGAGTATGTATAATTTTGATAAACGCAAATAATTCCTTATAAATTGAAAAGTGAGATGGGAGATTTAGACTTCCTAAACCTGAAGAAATCTTGTTTCATTTAGGGTTTTAGGATTGATAAAGGGCTGAGCGGTAAGGAAATATTTTGCATTTCAGGGACTGTCAGACAGACTTGTGAAGAGACAAATGTTACTGTACTATGTAGATGTTGGTAGTGGGGTCTGTCAGTGAAGAGAAAAATGGTTACTATGTTGTTATTCTTGAGTACAGAGCATTTCTGAGCACAGAGCACATGAAACCTAAACAAGATGATTATGGACGCATTTTGGTTTTAAAAATGACACACCCCTCTGAGACATTTATAGAGGGACATTCAAGCATCTGTCCAAAATCTGGACCTTTGGGTAGTGACTGACCTGAGCGAACCTGAAACATAGTGTATGTGGCAGCTTGTAAACATCAGCTCAGGCAGCGAGATAAAACATATTAACATTCAAGTTTACAGACAAATGGAGTTTGAATGACTTAATAGGAGTAGCAACAGGCCTGTGAGTCACCATTTATGTGTTATATTATCCATTAATATGCTGGCTTTGAAGCATGGGGAGAAAAAAAATAGCTGAAAAATTTGAATCTGACTACACGAAACACAACATATGGAAACATTTAGGTGAGAGAGATGTTATAAATATGAACAAAAGCAAAATTTAATATGGAGAAAAAGCCAGTGAAACTGGGGGAAATCATGTGACATATTATGTTGATCATGTGACATATAATGTTTATCATGTGACATATTATGTTGATCATGTGTCGCCCAGTTATCTAAACTGCTGCAATTGGGGATGCAGAGATGGGTTCTTTTGCACACCAGAAACCTATAATCCTGGGTTTGAATCTAATTTGCCTAATAGTGTATTTTGAGGTTTGTCTGCACCATACCCATGCCAGTGGGTTTCACCAAAGTGATAAAAGACTGAGACCTTACCCTCTTCAGGCTTTCCTCCCCAAGCTTAAATGCTGTGATCTGACAAATACTGCTGAAAGCAGCTCTCAACCTAGCGAGTGAGTTTTTTTACACTGCTTTTAGCAATATTCCAGCAATATCGTGGCAGGGGACACCAGAAATGGGCTTCACACATCTGTACCAACTGGCTGTACCAGTTTCAGGAATCGAATCTGGGTCTTTGGCATGATGAGCGAATGCTTTAACCACTCACTTCATGAGTTAACCACAAGGCTACAAGAGGTTGCCTGCAAAAGCCCCTTATTTTGTGGATTCTACCCCACCGCCCCTCTCTGAACCCAACTCACTCACTTCATGAGTATTTTACGTTATGAAATATTGCAATGTTTAGTGTGTGTGACAAGAGGTTGCATCTGCAAAAGCTGGGCCCTTATTTTGTGGATTCACAGAAAATATGTTTGATAATAATGGGTGCTTGAATATAACCGTGATAGTGGCTATTTGTTGTATTTATGATATCATGCTAGCTACATAGTGTTGGGGTGCTGATTTGTTTGGGATGTTGTTATTTTCCTGTTTTGTACCTTGTGTAACTGTTTGTTTTGTAAGTTATATTCATAAATAATTTACTAGACAAATTTATTGCAATTATCCGTTGCACTGGAATATCGTGTTATCCATAAGATTGTTAATCACTGAGGATTCTAGGTTGGTGAGTGAGTGAAGAAGTAAGCTTTTAGGCTGGTTTTAGCAATTTTCCCAGCAATATCACAGTGGGGCACACCAGAAATGGGCTTCACACATCATACACATGTGGGGAATCAAACCCGGGTCCTTAGCGTGACGAGAGAACACTTTAACCACTAGGCTACCCCACCACCCTCCAGGTTGGAGTCAGTGTCTAGTAATTGATCCTGGTCTTAAAGTGAAGTGATATCTACATATCTGCACGTTGTTTCAGTGTATGATTACATGTTTTTTTATTAGACTGCAGTGTTTATCACAACAGAGCTAGGCTCCAATACAGTTTAACCTTGTTACGTATTGATCTTATGCCAACCTATACTATAAATCAATCAGGTGTTAGGTGTACCCTCCCACTGTAAGTGCCTGTTTGACAATATGCAATACAATACACTATACTCTTGACAACATGCTTTACTTTGCACTGGACACTACAATTTTCTCCACACAATGCCCTCATTATATAAAATTTCTCAAGGTCTTGACTGTTTGATCACAATTCCATTAAAACTTTGCTCTGATGTGACTGGGAACGGTGGGGTAGCCTAATGGTTAAAGCGTCCACTCTTCACGCTGAAGACCAGGGTTCGACTCTCTACATGGGTACAATGTGTGAAGCCCATTTCTGGTGTCCCCTGCTATGATATTGCTGGAAAATTGCTAAGAGCAGCATAAAACCATACTCACTCACTGACTTATGTGATTGCTTAGTGCCTGAAGATCTGGGGCTTCTTTCACGAAGCAACCTTTACTAAGGTTAACCTTAACTCCTATTCTTTAACATTTCACTAAGGTTACCTTAGGGACTGTTGCAGTGCTTTGTGTGATCACTCTGGATGTTTCATCCTGTCTGTCTGTCAGTCTGCCTGTCTGCATCAGGTAACCCCAGAGCAAACGTTTGACCAATCTAATTGAAAGACACACAAGTTCTAAAGCCTCCAAAACCGCTTCATTTCCCTACCATCTTTATTATATTCTGTCTGTGGCATTCCTTCGATGTTGATGCTAAGAATTTAGAAGCAAGGAGGCACTGTATTGAAAGGAAAACAACTGATTTTATTAGATGGGATGAGCATTGACTTCCACATTACATAAATATCAATAACAGACTAATAATCATAGGTGGCTAAGGGTTTGCAGGTCAAAATGCGATATGATGGTTTCAGTTCTTTTACATATGGAAAAAACCCCAGCATATGTGTTAAAAATAGTGACCAGTCAGATTATACTGACTAAGGTAGGGGAACTTCGCAGAACTGAGATGTATATTACTGTCTCTTGTACTTCAGACATAGACTGAAATTGTTCATGGTTAACAAAAATAGGTATAGCAGAAATGATTCCTTCTGCATACTGCTGAAAACTTATCTCTTCTCAGAAGCCTATCCCTCCTACACTTTGTGATGCGCCGTTGAACAGCTTCAAGTTGGATACTGGGTGTCATGGAATCCGTTATTATCGGAGTCCATGTCCAGTTATACCAATACTTCTGCTGTGTTATGATGTTTTTAGTTAGGGTTCATACAGCACGGTATCTGCTCTTCTATTCATTTCACAAGATTGTTGTTTTTCCCCTCTTTGATGTAAGATTATAATTTCTTTTGTCAGGTTTGCGGAATCGCCAGACAGGGTCCCATGGTCTGAATGAGTTCTCTAGTCGTAGCCACAGCATGTTGACCGTGACAATCGACTCGAGACCCAGGCAGATCAGGAAGATGACAACCTGTATGTCACCAAACGGGGAAAGCTATCCTTCGTTGACCTTGCTGGGAGTGAAAAGGTCAAGGACAACACGACAGGATCTGGGGCAGGGGTCATGTATGAATCCAACAGCATCAACAAAAGTCTATTAGTTCTAGGTTGGTATGCCGATACTTGGCAAGTGACTGATTAATGTCGCTTGTTTAACAGTATTATATTTGGACATAGTTAAGGCAACAATGTTTTGCCCATTGAAACTGTTCATTAGGGCTCACCTCGATTCGATTCAATTTTCAATATTTGACCCTCGATTTGATCATTTTCGATTCGATTCTTCATATAAGTAAAAACATCAGATTTCATTTAACTCTCAGAGTCGGGTTTTCTTGCGTGAAATTTCCTCATTTGTCAACTTGGTGATGTCTACTCACAGCAATTGGATTATCTCATTGGATAATTAACTCGTCGTGAACCAATCACTTTTCGCCTTATACAAGTCCTCGAAACTGCTTGAGTCGGAGTCAGAATTACGTTCTGGCTGTGTGGAAATAATTTAAATAGGTATTCAAATATCAAATCAAAATATTGATAATGGTTATCGAGAATTGAAACTAAGGTGTCAGATTTCGATGAATTGAACAGATTCGTTGCTGCCCTACTGTTCATATTTAATAATAATATAATATGTCGTATGCTTTTCTGATGGAGGCACTCTCCATGGTTAACGTAATAGAATGTTTGTGTTGGCAAGCGAAATGTCAGGAGTTCAATCCCCATCTGTGTCATACCAAAGGCTGTTACAGGATGGTATTTGTTGTTAACCTGCCTGACTCAGCATTGAGTTGCTAGGAAAGGAAAGGTCGACTTCAGGTGCCAGTAAACTGTGTCTGTGGGGATATTTGTGGTACCAGTATACTGTGATGTGATGTTGAAGTGGGCTAGCTCTGCATAGACCAAACAAGTACAAACATGATAACCATCCGCAGAGGACTATAAGGCAGAACAGGTCCCCAGTACTAAATACTTGTTTCCAGCACTATGTGCTTGTATCTCAGTGAAAATCTGGTTCATGACATGTGTCAGTGCTATGTGTTTGTCCTACTGTAAGATTTCCAGGGCATAACAAATTCCTTGTACTGTATGTTTTTTTCCTGACAGATTCCTGGACATTATGTTTCCCAGTTCTGAATGATTATCTGTCATGACATCTTCATCTCATGATATCTTCATCCATCATCATGATCTTCATCAGTCATGATCTTCATCCATCATTACTATTCATCAGTCATGATCTTCATCAGTCATTGTCTTATCTTCATCAGTCATGATCTTCATCCATCATTGTCTTCATCAGTCATGATCTTCATAAGTCATTATCTTCATCAGTCATTATCTTCATCAGTCATGATCTTCTTCATCAGTCATGATCTTCATAAGTCATTATCTTCATCAGTCATGACCTTCATCCATCATTATCTTTATCATGTATGATCTTCATTCATCATCTATCTGTCTAGGTAACTGCATCTCCCATCTGGGGGACTCCAAACGGAGACACGGACACATCCCGTACCGAGACAGCAAGCTCACTAAACTCCTGGCGGACAGTCTAGGTGGCAATGGTGTCACCCTGATGGTGAGTATGTCATTGTGTTTGACATAACATGTGGTACTCACTAGGCTCAGGACACTGCCAGAGATGAACCTCATTACTGTTTATTATCAATGTAAAACGCACCTGTCTTTGTGATGTTCAATAGGGCAGTGTTCTGGCTACTGATTTAGAATAGTGTCTTATGAAAGACGTAATGTGGAGCTACCACAACTGTAGAAACTGTTGGTATAATGTGTTGTAGAAGATGATCTTATAGCATGTCATTCTCTGTGATCTAATTTGACAATAAACGAACCAAATATCAGTAAATAATGTCATGATTGAATCCTTTTTAGGGCTTTGAGGTTTTATTTACTATGATCTAGTTCCCCGTACAGGGTTGCCTTTGAGAGAATATTGTATGTTTACCTCGTGACCTTGACCTTGTTCCAGATCACATGCATCACCCCTTCCTCCTGCAATGTCGCAGAAACTATGAATACTCTCCGATACGCCAGTCGGGCCAAGAAGATCAAAACAAAACCTACTGTGAAGATGGTGAGAAGAACCATTGTAGATTTATGTTTGATAAAAATGAAAAGCTTTTGTTTCTCTATCCATGTGTTAACCGAGTGATTGATGTCAATCACTGGATTGTCTGGTTCCCACTGAGTTAGTTTTAGACTACCATAATGTATATGAAATATTACTGTGTGAAGCATTACACAAAAACAAGCAACATGTTACATGTTCTCTCTCTTATCCACAGGATCCCAGAGAGAAGCTGATACTTAGTTTGAAGAGAGAAATAAAAATATTGAGGAATGAAAACCACTATTTGAGACAACAGGTGAGAACCATTGTTTTAACATTTGAGAACTACTGTTTTGAGCAACAGGAGAGAATTATTGTTTTGAGCAGCTGGTGAGGACTATTGTTTTGAGCAGCTGGTGAGAACTATTTTGGGCAATAATTGAAAAGCACAATTTGAGGCAGCAGGTGAGAACTGATATTTTGAGCAAATGTGGAAAACCACAAATCAATCAACTGGTGAAAATGACTGTTTGCAGTAACACTGAGAGAGATAGTACTTGAAGAAATTGATAAGAATAACTTTATTGATCAAAATAAGGAGAACTAAGACAACAGGTGAACACCTGTATTTCTGACAAGGAGCAATAAAAACAATAGAAACAATATGACAATCAGGTGAAGGTATCTGTGGAGAAGGTATGGCAGATGAACCCCATTGCCCTGTGTCTGGTACAGCATCTCACTTCTGACCCGTGAAGATACGGGATAGAATTGATCTTCAGAAACCCATGCTTATCGTAATAGGTGTCTAACGGGATAAGGTGGTCAGGCTTGCTGACTTGGTTGACACATGTCATCGCATCCAAAATGCATAGATCATACTGTTAATCACTGGATTGTGTGGTCCAGACTATATTATTTACTGATTCCTGCCATATAGCTGGAATATTTCTACGTGCCGTGTTTAACAACAAAGCATCTCCCTTCTACATTCACAGCTGGAGTTCCCAGCCAAGCCAAAGGGGCAGCTGCAGAAGGAGAATGATGAGAAGTTCATGAAGTTTATGAAGGAGCAGCAACAGAAAGGTTTGATGTTTACATCGCTTCTCATTCACTCAGAAAGAGACAATCAGAAGCTGTACAGCTCAAAATCTGATGGGGATATTGACAAATTGAATCATTTCTGGATGCCAATTTCAGAAGTATGTCTAATCAGATTGTGTATCACATGAAAATTAGAATATTCCCCAATCCTAAATTGAGCAGTTATTGTGTAGCTGTGATTATGTCTCCCCCCTGAAGGGTCAGGAGACATTGTTTTTGGTTGAGTTTCCGTTGGCGTCGGCGTTCCCATTGTTTCCGGATAATAACTTAAAACTTACTTGATCATTATCACTAAAACTAAATACTGCCTCTCCATATCATGTAGATGTGCCTTTTGGGGTTTGAGGGTTTTTTTCAATTTTATTTTTTCTGTTTCCATGGCAACAATTTGGACTTTGTCTTTTTGAACGGTAAAGCTAGTTTCCGGAGGAAAAATCTGAAACTATTTGATCCATCTTCACCAAATTTGCTATACTGCTTCTCCAAATGATGTAGATGTGCCTTTTGGGGTTTGAGGTTTTGTTTTGTTCAGTTTTTATGGCAGCAATTTGGACTTGGTCTTTTTGAAGGGTAGGGTTTGTGTTCGGAGCATAACTCTAAAACCACTTCACCCATCTTCACTGAATTTTGTATACTTAATACCAATACCAATTATTAGTAAGCTTAGAAGCATCAACCATATACATGTACTACTATAAAACATGTATATTATGTATTTTCATACTTACAGATTTTGAAATTGAAGGAATCAAATGAATTGGTAGAGGTCTCAATGTTGAATTGGAGGAAGGGGGAGAGGTCTGTTTTTACGAGTAAAAACAGTTTCTAGTTGATAATTATGAGTTATCAGTTTCTGTATCATATGAAAAAAGGAATATTCCCTTCAAAAGTTTAAGAGTAATTGTATTGTTGTAATTAGTAATGAGAGGTAACAGTGTATACCATAGGGATGTCGAGACATGGAATTAGTTTTTGTTGAAAAGGTTTCCAGATTATTAGTGATTACTTTGTGTATCATGTGTTAATAGGAATATCTGCATCAGAAGTTGAGTAGTTAGGTGTCATTGATAATTATGAGTTTTCAGTTTGTGTATCATGTGAAAAAAGAACATCATAATTGATATTGGAGATCATGTTTCTACCAGTGAAGTAAGTGGTTGAAATCAAAGCTACATTGGCAATGTTTCAGCCATGACACTTTTGTTACTAAGTCCAGTGTTTACAGAGGTTGATAATGGGAACTACATGTCCAGTGTTTACAGAGGTTGATAATGGGAGACTCATGTCCAGTGTTTACAGAGGTTGATAATGGGAGACTCATGTCCAGTGTTTACAGAGGTTGATAATGGGAGACTCATGTCCAGTGTTTACAGAGGTTGATAATGGGAGACTCATGTCCAGTGTTTACAGAGGTTGGTAATTGGAGACTCATGTCCAGTGTTTACAGAGGTTGGTAATGGGAGACTCATGTCCAGTGTTTACATTTCAGAAAGTGGTCTGTATGAGATGCTCCAGGAGTACATGGTGGAAAACGAGAATCTCAGGTCAGAATGTGCCACATTTACACACAAAAAATGACGGAGAAAGAATATTTCGAAATTTAATGCAACAAGAGCCTGTCCATATTTATGAAAATATCTCATCCTAAAGCATGGTCCACAGTACCAATCTGACTATCTCATGAGCATGTGTTTCTGAACCACTATCAGTTACTTCATTAAGCAAAAGGTAGGAGAAGACAGATGATGTGGCATGTTCATTAGATATACTTTCATCTTCAGGGGAGAGAATTCTGACCTTCATGCTGGTAGGGATAAGGTCCGACGAGAACAACAGACTCTGTACAGAGAGAATGAGAAGCTGATGAAGAGAGTGGAGGATCTAGAAAGGTAGGTAGGATGAATGGAGAAGAGAACTGATGATCTGGAGATGTGATAGGGCTGTTCGGTGTAATGACTGTTGAAGAGAGTGGAAGCTACGATATAGCCGTAGTGTAGGATGATTGTTGATGAGACGAGGATCTGGACGTGTAGGTATGATGAAGGATGGAGACAATACAGGACTGAAGAAGATGAGTGTCGACGAGAGTGCAGTGTCGAAAGAGGTGGGTAGTTCCATTCATCAGGATGACTGTTGAAGAGAGTGGTAGGTAGGATGAGTATTGAAAAGTGTGGCAGATCTACAGAGACGTTGCTTTATGAAAGCAACAAGTAGAGGGATGTTGCTGAAAAAAAGATGAATTCTACAATTGATTGGAACCCAGAAGGCTAAAGGATTGCTTTGTATGGTGATGTTGCATATTTTGTACCAGATGAACATACACAAGTATTTTATCATTTTTACTTTTTCTAGAATTGTCTCAACAAGTCCGGCAGCGTGGCAGCAGGCACAGCGCCCCCTGCAGCGTTATGATGGCTTCAACCAGTATGACATGGGGTCACCTCGACAGTCCCCAGGGCAGAACGGTCATCGTATGCCACAAAGGCTTCCAGTGAGTGCTTGTCACTGGGTGATTAAACCCTACATTCCAGGAACCCAGTGTCACCAGCCCCAGCATGACGGAATGTGAATCTACCGAGATGCCAACCGTTATGATTATTACAGAATCATTATTAATATTATGATATATAATATTCAAACCAAATTCTGAAAATGCATCAAGTGAAACATTTTGCAAATATTTCTCAAGAAAACACTAAAAATAATTCACCCTTTCCGGATTCTTACCTCATGTGGGTAATATGTATGCATGATGTTCCAGCATCAAGACCTGCCCCACCCTGACCCTGCCAGTCGTGTGGTGATGTCGCCACCTACTGGACACCCTATGAGACCGCCCCACCGTCTGCCCGACCCAGTTGTAAGGGGTCAGAAAGGGTAAGTCATAATACTGGATTTTTTACGCCGCTTTTAGCGATATAACTGCAGGGACATCAGAAATGTGCTTCACACATTCTACCCATGTGGGGAACTGAACCCCGGGTCTTTGGGGTGATGAGCAAACGCTTTAACCACTTGGCCACCCCACCGCCCATGTTCATGTAGAGACAATATACACAACCTGTGACAGAGAATAATGCTCTTGTATCAAAGGCAAAAGATGAAATATCCTTCTCAGTTCAAATATTATCCTGCTTTGTTAAGCTTTCAAAGAAGTGTATCTTTCCATCTGTCTTTGCCCAATTTCTATTAATGCCAATGACTGATATGGTTGCTATGGTTACAGAATGCCGGAATCCATGCAGAATGGAGGGCACATGATGCATCCTCATGGCCGCATGAATGGACCAGTACGGCAAGGTAATGAGTTTACAGGAGAGTAGTACTACACAGATGTACACCAACCACAAGAATACTAATTAAAGAACTAAATTTCCTTGAAATAAACAGTTCATTTTTCAGAATTTTTTTTTAAAGTTGACATTTGGATAAATAAACCAATTTTTTTATAAGCTTATGTCATGGCACCTTGCCTGTTGGATAGAGTGTTCTCTAGCCTATATCAAAGTCTAATTTCTACCCTTGCCATGTCAGGACTATCTAACCTATATGGTTGGACCTTACAAGGCTGGAACAATGGCTGCCTCATGTTTTGGAAAGAAAATATTTTTGCCACAACAGCTAATGCATTTAATTGTTCTTTGAACTGACAGTTAAGTTTTTGCTCTCAAACATTTCTTGCTAGCCAAATGGCAAGGTAAGTTAGTGAGTATATCTACTAACCTCTCCCAAACCCAATAATCCCTACCCCTAAAGTCATCATTTCTTTGCAAGAAGAGCATTCCGAAGGAAGTAAATGGAAAACTGATAGTCTATCATTTATACTAAGGTGTAAAGGTTTGGTCAAAGTAAGAATGTGTTGTAACATGGCTCAAGGTCCGGGTTAGAGTTGGTCTTCAGCGACCTATGCTTGTAGAAAAGCGATTAATGGGATCGGGTGATCAGGCTCGCTGACTTGGTTGACCAACATGTCATCGTATCCCAATTGCATAGATCAATGCTCATGCTGTTGATCACTGGATTGTCTGGTCCAGACTCGATTATTTACAGACGGATGCCATATAGCTGGAATATTGCTGAGGACAGCGTTAAACAACAACCAAACATGGCTGAAGTGTACAGTGTGCTGTTTGTCTACATCCCTAAATATAAATACTGGAGGGAATGTAAGGGACCATTGTGTCCATCAACATCAGAATTTCTAGATAACCACTTACCCTAAGTATGGAATAATAAGTAATTCAGGAATACTCTCATGCCCTGCCAATCAAAGTAATCTTTAAATGTTACATCAGATATAAAGGAGAGATGCTGATAGTATTTATCTTTCTCACCTGATTGTTTTTAGTTTAGATCTGTTCCCATTAATTATAATATTCTTACTGTCATCTTGGTAGTATTGTTTTAACTGGGTTGCCAAGTGTGTTATTTTGTTTGTATGTGGAAAGCGTAGACTACATGCTAGTCAAGTAGTTGTAAGTCACCCCGAGAAACATGCAGGGGATGACTGGCATGCTCCTACAGGTGCTTGTTCTGGATGACAACTGTTGATTGGAGTTTATACCAGTGCATGCATAAGTCAGGGGTGAGAAATACCTGCGATTGGCTGAATTCCTCAGATTTTGTTATGTAGGGCATCTTTTGGTAATACATGCCAATAAACGGACCCTAGATCCCCAACTTACTTTTGTTCCCTTTTTTTCTCTTTTTTTGAAAAATATTTGATTCTCATCCCTGATCAGTATTCAAGTAGTGCTGCTATTGGCATAGAACCTGCGATATGATACATCACGATACTAAAACGACGATATATTGCCAAAGTATTGTGCGGTGAAGATGTGATACGATACGAATCCCGATATAATCACGATACTAAAATCTTTAAATCCAACACCAACTATAAAACACCTTAATATCAAAACAAAACCATTTTAAAGTATTTCGTCAAAGTTAAGTTTATACACAGATTTTGTGAATGTTAATAACATGCGAAGCGCTATGTCTGTCAGTTCTTGATGCAAGAATTTCCGAGAAAACGTTTACTTATGAAGGGAAAATAAGTAAGCATATATTTCACTCATCAAACAAAAGTAAGTCTTTTTTCTTGACAGATATTGCGATTCGGCAATATCCAAAGTTAAACATCGATGTATCGTGGCCCATTTGAAGTATCGTATCGGGATATACGAAAATGTAAAAGTTTGTATCGATTCACTGTATCGGCGGCCCATGGATCGATGCATCGATGCGTATCGATGAATCGTCACACCACTATATTCAAGGTGTGAGTACCTTGACACTGAAGTTGAAACTTTTATTGACTAGTTTTACAGATTGGTTTTATTGTCCGGTTTTACTGAGTAGCTTTAGTGATTGGTTTTACTGATAAGTTTTGTCCACTTTGTTTGCAGACACAGAGCGTAGGTAATGATCGTTTTCTGATTTGATTTTCTTGCATGTAGATGTTACCGTAAATGTATGTGACAGGCAGACTAACTCATACATCTCCCCAGTGTAGAGAGAGCAGCTGTCTGACCTTCCAGACATCTTCTTTGGCCCAGAAACATTTTCATGGATGAGATCTAGAACTGAGATTGTATCTTAATTTATAGCTTGAGTACTAATACTTTCCTACTTTGATCTATAGAAGTGACTTTGTGCTAGCTTCCAGTGTTAATTAGTTGTTTGTATGGCAGTATATGGCACTTTTCAAAAGTTTGCTGAAGCTGAGATTATGGGTGGTCGGGTGTAAAATCTTTTTATTTCGTGTGCCAACGCATCTTTGATATTAGTGATTCTTTGAAAACCTCTTGGCTGTGACTATTTCAAATACAGACAAATCTTTTCTTTGTTATGCGTGCAACCTCTATTTGATATTAGTAATTCATACTGAAACTCCTTTGAAAACCTCTTGGCTGTGACTATTTCAAATACAGACAAATCTTTTCTTTTGTTTTGCAAGCAACCTCTATTTTATATTAGTCATTCATACTGAAACTCCTTTGAAAACCTCTTGGCTGTGACTATTTCAAATACAGACAAATCTTTTCTTTTGTTATGTGCAACCTCTATTTGATATTAGTAATTCATACTGAAACTCCTTTGAAAACCTCTTGGCTGTGACTATTTCAAATACAGACAAATCTTTTCTTTTGTATGCGTGCAACCTCTATTTGATATTAGTAATTCATACTGAAACTCCTTTGAAAACCTCTTGGCTGTGACTATTTCAAATACAGACAAATCTTTTCTTTTGTATGCGTGCAACCTCTATTTGATATTAGTAATTCATATTGAAACTCCTTTGAAAACCTCTTGGCTGTGACTATTTCAAATACAGACAAATCTTTTCTTTTGTATGCGTGCAACCTCTATTTTATATTAGTCATTCATACTGAAACTCCTTTGAAAACCTCTTGGCTGTGACTATTTCAAATACAGACAAATCTTTTCTTTTGTTATGCGTGCAACCTCTATTTGATATTAGTAATTCATACTGAAACTCCTTTGAAAACCTCTTGGCTGTGACTATTTCAAATACAAACAAATCTTTTCTTTTGTATGCGTGCAACCTCTATTTGATATTAGTAATTCATACTGAAACTCCTTTGAAAACCTCTTGGCTGTGACTATTTCAAATACAGACAAATCTTTTCTTTTGTATGCGTGCAACCTCTATTTGATATTAGTAATTCATACTGAAACTCCTTTGAAAACCTCTTGGTTGTGCCACATGGGCACAATGTGTGAAGCCCATTTCTGGTGTCCCCCTGCCATGATATTGCTGGAATATTGCTAAAAGCGGCGTAAAACTAAACTCAGTCCATCAGTCAGTCTTGGCTGTGACTATTTCAAATACAGACAGATCTTTTCTTTTGTTATGAGTGCAACCTATTTGATATTAGTAATTCATCATGAACCTCCCTAATACCTTGGAAACCTCTTGGCTGTGACTATTTCTAAAGCAGGCCGATTGTTTCTCTTGTTAGATTTGAAAAATTATTTTCTTAAACTTCTTACTTGCTCTGTAGAATATACTTTTGTTTGGCTGACTGGCTGAATCTAGTTTTACGCCGCTTTTAGCAATATTCCAGCAATATCACGGCGGGGGACACCAGAAATGGTGACTCTAAAGCCCTATTTGGAACAAATACAGTATATTTGACACTGGAAATGCTAATGAAAGATCATAGTATATCAAAATGTATGTTTTCAAGACAAAACAACACAGCATTATGTAACCCTGTGATAAGGTTATAGTTACCTAGGGGACAGCTAACTAGTTCTCTAAAATGCTACAATTCACTGTGGAGTGTTATGTTGCGTAACAGTACTGGAACCTTTTGGTTGTGGGTTCGAATCCTGCTTTGCTTCAATTATGTTTCAAGGTTAATCAACACCATAACTCTTTTCGTGGTTTTCACCAAAGTGTCTTTTTCTTTCACATCAACCTTACAACCTATGATATAACTGAAATACTGTTTAAACAGGTTTACATAAAATCAACTCACTGAATAAAGGTAAGCTCCAGTACCCATGTATCTCAGTTTCATTGAACTTTTCACAAGATGCCTAGTAAGGGTAGATGAGTCGTAGGCTAGGAATAGATAGGTACTCACATGTAAAATAAATTTCATCTGAGTCAATAGATCCTCCAAATTTTGAAATCAGTGTCAAAGGATGTCCCGCTTGCATGACGTCTGTCGTAGGAATCAGTCCTTCATCCACCATCTTGTTGCATGTTTCCTGCAGTTGTACAGTTTTCACTGCACTCTAACTTGTTTATTATTTTGTCACTGCGGCCCTGTTTGTCCAGATTATTAGGTTTCTAAGACTGATGGACGGGTAAAAGTACATTGTATTTAGGTAGATTGTCTCCTGGTTCAGTTCACCCTCACACATTAACCTTTCAGCTTCACCACCCAGAGCTATCGAGAGGAAGTCTTCTCAGGCGTCACAGTCAGGTAAGAGTGGTCTCCCTTTGGAGGAGTTTTGCTTGAGCTGAGTTTAGAGAAGGCCAGTGTTGGAGGACAGTTGCAATGGTTTTATGCTACATCAGCATTAGTGTAGCCTTATCATGTCACTGGTCTTAGATGTGACAAGCAAATGCTTATTACCAGGCCCTGTAGCCAATAATGTAAAACATTATGAGTTGCTGTTGATCACGAGGACTTTAATGAGGAAAATGAACAAGTTTGATATTGTTTTGGTTTCCAGTCATATGAGTTTTGGTTGAGAAAATTAAAATTTTAATTCAGCAAACAAGTTGATATCAGAGTTATATGAAACAATATTGAATCCACAGATGAAGTTTCAATGACCACTAACTAGTACACTTACAATATTACTGATGACCGGGATTTGTGTAGCCATTGTAACTCTACACACATGTAGACAGCCTGAACAGACAGTAGACACAACTAAGGTGAAGCTGAATGGTCAAACACAATTGTCTGTGGTGTGAACACCGAGAAACAAACATTTTCCCAAGATTATCGAACACAATGTAACACATGTTATATTTGGGATTACACTTTCTTAGTAAAGTACAAATTCTAGTACTTTTGTTGGAATGGAGTCCCCTCCGGGATTCAAGCCCACACCCTCAGAGTCAGGCCCCCTCAATCGCCAGCACACAAAGTCAGAGCACAATGTTCAGTTATATTTGCAATCCTGCACCCCTCATGGACTGACCATTTGATATTCTGGAGGGGAGTCAGGGGTTTTGTAGGGAGACATGCTCTATTTCACAGCTAAACCCAGATATTTTATGTGTCAAAACTATGAGACGAATTATTTTCTTTTTGGTCAAAAGCAGCTTGCAACAATGAATTTTTGTGGCTCTGTCAGGGTTCTTTTTAATAGTCAGAAGCACAAATATTTTTAAAGTATTTTCACCCACAGTTAGTATTTTTCACAGCTCCCAGCCTCCCCACCAGAATCTCAAACTGTGTTTCCCTTATGTTGTGATCTGTCTGTCACATGGTGTGTGCCGTGTATTGTTTGACGTTGCCTGCCATTGTCTGAAGATGAAGGATTGTATGTTGTTATCAGTACAATGTTGCTGTTTGTTTAACATACTGCAATATAGATACATTGTGATATTTCTTTAAGGATGTCATTAGCAACATCAATACAGTATTACTTTTGTATTACATATACCATGTGCTACGTAAATTTACATTGATTCACACTATAAAGGTAAAGTTTCATTTGTGTTCACAGACTTGTCTACTCAATGCTTACGACCTTACGATCATACTGAAATTCCTTACGACTTCTACAAACAAATGGTAGAATAGTAGATATAGGCATGCCCATGCTATTTATAGAGTCATTTACGGCACATAAAGTACTGAAAAACAAAAGTTGCATCATAAACATGATAAATAAATAATCTTTGCATCTTACAGTGCTGGTAAAGTTTATTTCAAAGTTAAAGACTTTAAAAAACGTTAATTAGATCGGCTATTAAACGCTATATTAAGATTTTAACTAGCTATGTTTTTCCTTTATTTCTTGACATTAACATGCCTTACTATCAAATGCACTTGCCTTAGTATTTTTTTAGCCGATCTTACTATTTTCTTTAAGAGGGGGTAGGCAAGTCTGGACCACACCCATTACTTGAATACAGTGTTCCAGATGCTAAACTCTACATAGATATTTGTGGTCTTGATACATGTTCTATAATCTATATCAATAGTGATATGTTTGTGTTACAGACACACCACACACTCTAGACACCACACACTGCGTAATTATAGTTACATTTGTGTTGTAGACACGAAACTCTACATCAGTAATGTTCTGTTTCTGTTGCAGATGCCAAGAATAGCTCCTTTTGTGTTCTGTTAGTTTGCAGACACCATCTATGGCATTAAATAGTTACGTTTGTGTTACAGACATCGTATTCTACGTACATACAAAGTTGCCTTTGTGTTCAAGATCCCGGTCTACCTTAAATTCTACATCAGTAATTTATTCTGTTTGTGTTGCAGACGCCATCCGCGACATGAATGAGAAGTTGCTTCTGGAGGTGCGGGAACTGGAGGGAGAGATTGAACAGCAACATCGACTAACCAGGTCACATGACTTCTCACAGCGACCTCGGTCAGACGTCTCACACAAACAGTACCCAGCGTCATCCATTATTAGGTGACCACAATGTTTCCAAAGCAACGCTCAAACAGATCTGTGATAGTAGCATTAGGTGAAAGGTTCCTTTGACCATTATGAAAAGTGCTGGCTGCCATTACGGAGTCTCTCATCTTGAGGATGGCTGCTCTGGTTGTACCTCCATTGTGTCAAGCTTCTTGTCAGAGTTCATTTCCAAATATACGGTATGAGAAATGGATTGAAAGAGAAATAAGCCAAATATGAAAAATAATATGGATCCTCCTTTGTTTAACAAGTGTGTCTATCAGCTATTTATTACCTCCCTTTGTACAGTCCTATGGGAGTTATCCTTCTTAATGGCCCTGATCTGTGACCTTGGTGTATTTTCCCAGGAAATGTCACACAAGATCTCAACAGTCTGCATTTAATGTTTGTGTTTAATGTTGGACAGACATTATTTCTCATCTATGCAGCCAAATTCACCAAATCTCTTCCAATTTCAAGATGGTGGTCGCCATTATGATAATACACATGCAGTGTTTGCTCAACTGGTCAAAGAGTGACTTGTCCTCTCCAAGGAAACTTGAATACAGATAAAGTTACTGTGCAGAATGTATTCCAGTGATTGCAATTGATAAACCTTGTTCTGATTCCGGAGGGTTATGGAGGAGACTGGAAGAATCAACTCCAAGACATGTAGTGTGTGTATATCCGTGTTGTGACAACTGCACGTCTGTGATGATGTCCAGATTTCGACTCAGCACACAGGTACCAATCAGAGTGCTTTCAAGACAAAGTTCCTGATAATTCCAACTGAACGGATGGGCAAAATGAAGGATTTGATAGTTTGATAGTGGCTGAGAATGAAACAAACTAGGAAAGGTCATTTGGTGATGTATTTAATATAAGTGTCGTAATTGTGTTTTGGACCTAAGCTTGCAGTGTTTTGGCAACTGTTTTCAGCATCACGATGCATAAGGTGTCAAATTTTGGGGTTGAATCCTATTTTCAAACGGTACTTTATTTTGCCCAGTTGTTCTGGAGAACTTGTGGTGGTGAGGTCACCTGTTCTGTCATCAGTGCTCTGGGTGAGTAGACCTGTTTCTGCAGTCCCAGAGAGACCCTGCAGTCAGGAGAGCAGGGTTATGCCAAAATGAATTGTTGTGTTGTGTTGTTTTGTATGAACATTCTTCCTTATTAGTCGATAGTTACTTGTTGGCTGTGCTTTTACAGAAGTCTCAATTTGTTTTCAAAGCCCAAATTTGAATCATTCAAAGATAGAATGTCCACAACATAGCGGACTCTGATGTCCGACTTAATAAACCAGGAAGTCCTCTACTTTGAAGTCCTCTAAAATCTCAGCCCAGAGTCAAGTCCAATCTCAGTACTCTTTATCAATCTCTTCTCTACTCATTATGAAATCCCTTTCCTTTTTGACATATTACTTTATAACTACCTAACAAGAATCTTTCCACTCATCTTGAAGTTATTGTTTCTGCCCTTCATGAAGTCCCTCATCCATAGTTTACGAAATTGTTTCTCCACCTTTCATGAAGTTCTTTTCGAAGGTTATGAAATACACAATGCCATTTTAGAAAGTGGTCAAATGTCACATATGTTATATTTGGTATTCCAAGCTTATTGAATTCTTCTCCCTTTTTGAAGTAGTTCCTTACCCAGCATGAAGTCTAAGACACCTCCCCCAAATGTGAAATCTAACACATTCTCTCATCCAGTGTGAAGTTTCTCATGCCCTTACCCAGTACGGAGTCTTACAGCAGATGACCCTGAGAGGTCCTTCAAATCATTCTGGGTACACACTGTATGGTTCTTAAGCGAACCTCTTTGTTTCAAGTAAATCCCTCTACCTGTATTACACAGACATCTGGGGTGGTGGGGTAGCCTAGTGGTTAAAGCGTTGGCTCGCCATGCCGAAGACCCGGGTTCAATCCCTACATGGGTACAATGTGTGAAGCCCATTTCTGGTGTCCCTCGCCGTGATGTTACTGGAATATTGCTAAAAGCGGCGTAAAACCAAACTCAGTCAGTCAGACACAGACATCTTACTACACAAACCACCATTGATGACAACTCTAAGAGGAACACCAACATAGTTAATAGATCCCAATAAATAGATCGAGCTCCAATAATACAGTTCTTTCTTTTATTCATGTTTCAGTACTAGCATGTTATTTTCATCAAATAACCATATTTGGTTTAAATACAATGTAAGTGTTCCCAGTGTCCTGGTACAGAGGAAAATGAAGTAGAATTACTTGAGCCTTAGTTTTGATTAGATACAGGCAATAGATGGTATACACACGGTGAGGACATGGCAGGTGCCCTGGTTACCAACATACAAACATAATAGTGTGTTAACTATTTCCCTTGACAACTGTACTTCTCTTTATCTGTATATCAAGTCATTGTGCAAAGAATGGTACTTACAGTGAGATGTGCTGTTATATTCCAATATGGTCATACAATTTAGGAATTATGTCTCCAATCGTGCCTTCCATTTAGTGTATTTAGAACATGTGGGTCGTCCACTTAAAGCCTATACCTGTGTGACATGGTCTATTTAGTACAACTCCTATTTGACCCATATGTATTAAGACAAGTTTCCCTTTCAATGGCGTCCAAACTAGTTCTCTTTGTACTTGTTACCATACTCATTCTGTTTGTTCAGACAATATTTCCTGCAAGTTTCCGATATGTTCTATGAATACATAATGCCATTTAGAAAATGGTCCAATGATACATGTGTTATATTAGTGTTTTTTTGAGTGGTCAGATATTCATGCCGTCCATTCAGAGCATAGTTCCGTCTCAGTACATGTTACCCTATTCATGCCGTCCATTCAGAGCATAGTTCCCTCTCAGTAAATGTTACCCTATTCATGCCGTCCATTCAAAGCATAGTTTCCTCTCACTACATGTTACCCTATTGATGCTGTCCATTCAGAGCATAGTTCTCTCTCAGTACATGTTACCCTATTGATGCCATCCATTCAGAGCATAGTTCCCTCTCACTACATGTTACCCTATTGATGCTGTCCATTCAGAGCATAGTTCCCTCTCACTACATGTTACCCTATTGATGCCATCCATTCAGAGCATAGTTCCCTCTCACTACATGTTACCCTATTGATGCCGTCCATTCAGAGCATATTTCCTCTCAGTACATGTTACCCTATTGATGCTGTCCATTCAGAGCATAGTTCCCTGTCAGTACATGTTACCTTATTGATTCAGAGCATAGTTCCTCTCAGAACATGTTACCCTATTGATTCCGTCCATTCAGAGCATAGTTCCCTCTCAGAACATGTTACCCTATTGATGCCGTCCATTCAGAGCATAGTTCCCTCTCACTACATGTTACCCTATTGATGCTGTCCATTCAGAGCATAGTTCCCTGTCAGTACATGTTACCTTATTGATTCCGTCCGTTCAGAGTATAGTTCCCTCTCAGAACATGTTACCCTATTGATGCCGTCCATTCAGAGCATAGTTCCCTCTCAGTACATGTTACCCTATTGATGCTGTCCATTCAGAGCATAGTTTCCTCTCAGTACATGTTATCCTATTGATGCCATCCATTCAGAGCATAGTTCCCTCTCAGAACATGTTACCTTATTGATTCGGTCCATTCAGAGCATAGTTCTCTCTCAGAACATGTTACCCTATTGATGCCATCCATTCAGAGCATAGTTCCTTCTAAGTACATGTTGCCCTATTGATGCTGTCCATTCAGAGCATAGTTCCCTCTCAGTACATGTTACCCTATTGATGCCGTCCATTCAGAGCATAGTTCCCTCTCAGTACATGTTACCCTATTGATGCCGTCCATTCAGAGCATAGTTCCCTCTCACTACATGTTACCCTATTGATGCCATCCATTCAGAGCATAGTTCCCTCTCAGTACATGTTACCCTATTGATGCTGTCCATTCAGAGCATAGTTCCCTCTCAGTACATGTTACCCTATTGATGCCGTCCATTCAGAGCATAGTTCCCTCTCACTACATGTTACCCTATTGATGCTGTCCATTCAGAGCATAGTTCCCTCTCACTACATGTTACCCTATTGATGCCATCCATTCAGAGCATAGTTCCCTCTCAGTACATGTTACCCTATTGATGCCATCCATTCAGAGCATAGATCCCTCTCACTACATGTTGCCCAATTGATGCTGTCCATTCAGAGCATAGTTCCCTCTCAGTACATGTTACCTTATTGATTCTGTCCATTCAGAGCATAGTTCCCTCTCACTACATGTTACCCTATTGATGCTACCCTATTGATGCCGCCCATTCAGAGCATAGTTCCCTCTCAGTACATGTTACCCTATTGATGCCGTCCATTCAGAGCATAGTTCCCTCTCACTACATGTTACCCTATTGATGCCATCCATTCAGAGCATAGTTCCCTCTCACTACATGTTACCCTATTGATGCCGTCCATTCAGAGCATAGTTCCCTCTCAGAACATGTTACCCTATTGATTCCGTCCATTCAGAGCATAGTTCACTCTGAGAACATGTTATGCTATTGATGCTGTCCATTCAGAGCATAGTTCTCTCTCACTACATGTTACCCTATTGATGCCGTCCATTCAGAGCATAGTTCCCTGTCAGTACATGTTACCCTATTGATGCCATCCATTCAGAGCATAGTTCCCTCTCAGTAAATGTTGCCCTATTGATGCCGTCCATTCAGAGCATAGTTCCCTTGATAAAGAATATCTGGTAAATAAATATACGTCAGGACGCCTTGGTGACCTCCTCTTCATAATGTCTGTTGAAACATTTTCTGTGTAGGTGGCATTTTATATTTCCACTCTGAAGATGTCCATTTATTGCACATGTCCCTGTTCATGTGGGACATGTCAATTTTGAATATGTTTCCCATTGTATTGTGTAAAAGCACTTCACCACATTCCTTGTATCTGAGTCTACATGTGTGTGTACATAACAAGGTGTTGTGCGTTACATCTGTTTATACCGTGAGACTATGTTGTGTACTGAAATATAAAGATATATGAAACTTTGCCTGTTCAGTTTTCACTCAATACTACCCTATACAACATAAAGAGTATAGTGATCAGCACACCACATAGGAGGATTCAGTGAATAGCTGATTTGTACAAGGTATCATATTGCCTAACAAAACATACGGCCATGAAGTAAGGGATCTGTATGTAGTCGACGAAGCACAGGTAACACATGTGGTCTCACCTTAGGTAAGTAACTTTTCACATAATATGCCTCTGTTCACGCAGCTGTGAATGGGTACCTGGTGGGATGAGATGGTTAATGTCAGATCTCTGTGAACCTTTTGGCACAGGTTGCTTGGGTTGTAGAGCACACTGATCCATTGACTAAAAAGTAGTGTTGGCGCTTTGAGAAGCTAGCTCAGTATAAGTACACACATTAGGACACCTGGGAAGCCAAGAATGAGTGAGTAAATTGGTTTTGACGCCACTGTGAACAGTAGTTCGCCTATATCAAAGATACGCTTGGATGAAACGGGAAGGTGCCTTCTTCAAATATTGACTTAACCAGAGTTGCAGCTTTGAAAACGTATTATTATTTATTATACCTAGACAAGGAGGGACTGACACGGCTTTCATCACAACATGATCTGACACTTGCACATAGTTCAACTTTTATTGTCCCAACATGATCTGACAATTGCGTCTAGTTTCGTGACTGTGGTCACAACATGATCTGACAACCGCAGGTAGTTCCACAGCCATGGACCCAGCATGCTCTGACAGATGTACGTAGTTCCACAGCCATGGACCCAGCATGCTCTGACAGATGTACGTAGTTCCACAGCCATGGACCCAGCATGCTCTGCCAGATGTACGTAGTTCCACAGCCATGGACCAAGCATGCTCTGCCAGATGTACGTACGTCCACAGCCATGGACCAAGCATGCTCTGCCAGATGTACGTAGTTCCACAGCCATGGACCCAGCATGCTCTGCCAGATGTACGTAGTTCCACAGCCATGGACCCAGCATGCTCTGCCAGATGTACGTAGTTCCACAGCCATGGACCCAGCATGCTCTGCCAGATGTAATGTGTTCCACAGCCATGGACCCAGCATGCTCTGCCAGATGTACGAAGTTCCACAGCATGTGGACCAAGC